GGAAGTATGGAGTGGAAGGAGACTATCAATACGTCATCTGGAAGTATTTAAGTGTATTGTTGATGCCCATGTACCAGACCAGCTAAGGAAGAAATTAGATGACAAAGGAGAAAAATGTATTTTCATTGGCTATTGCATTAACTCAAAGACATACAAACTCTACAATCCAGAGACAAAAAAGGTGATTATCAGTTGTGATGTGACGTTTGGTGAAGAAGGGATGTGGGATTGGACCACAAAAATCCAAAATAAGCCGTTGATGATTCCTAATAATTATGAAGAAGATAGACAAGTAGATTCAGCGGTTGATGTACTAGAATCTTCCAGCAGACCATAAAGGCATCACAAGTTACCAGTTAAATTGTAAGATTATGTTGTGGGTAATGATAATGATCCATCTGATGAGAAGATTATCAATTTTGCCTTATTTGCAAATTGTGAGTTTGACTTTTGAAGAAGCTGCTAATGATTAGAATTAGAGAGAAGCTATGAATGCAAAAATTGATGCCATTGAGAAGAATGAAACATGGGTACTGACAAATTTACCTACAGATAAAAGACCAATTGGAGTAAAGTGGGTGTATAAGACTAAGTACAAGCCCATTGGAGAAATTGATCCCTTTAAAGTGAGATTAGTGGCTAAAGGATATAAGCAAAGATTAGGTATTGATTATTTTAAGATATTTGCTCTTGTAGTGAGATTAGATACAATTCGTATAATTATATATATCTTAGCTCAAAAAAATTGGAAAATATATCAAATGAATGTTAAGTCTGCCTTTCTAAATGATACTTTGGAAGAAGAGGTGTACGTTGAGCAACCTACAGGTTTTATGATTAAAGGAAAAGAAGATAAGATCTACAAATTGAAGAAAATATTATATGGCTTGAAGCAAACACCTAGAGCGTGGTATAAAAAGATTGATTCTTATTTTATACAACATGAATTTCATATATGCCAATTTTAGCACACTCTATATATCAAAGTTGTTAATCCTGATGATATTTTTATTGTGTGCTTATATGTTGACAATTTGATTTTTATTAGCAACAATCCCAAGATGATGGCAGAATTCAGGGAGGCTATGACACGATATTTTGAAATGACAATTGTGGGCTTAATGTCCTATTTTCTAGACATTGAGGTCATTCAACAAGAAAGAGGAATTTTCATTTCTCAATGGTGATATTCTAAAGAAGTTCAAGATGGAGAATTCAAAGCCAATTCTCACACAAGTTGAAGAAAAATTAAAGCTAACAAGAGAAGTTGAAGGTAAGAGAATTGATCCAACCTACTATAAGAGTTTAATTGTAAGTATCAGATATTTGACTGCAACAAGACTTGATATTATCTTTGGAGTAAGATTACTAAGCAGATTCATAGAAGGAGTCAAAAGAATTCTAAAATATATCAAAAGTACTCTGAAAAAAAGAATTTTTTATACTAAAAATAATGATATAAAACTTGTCAGTAATATAGATAGTGATTGGGCAGGAGATGTAGTAACAAGGAAGAGCACGTTAGGGTACATATTTTATCTTGGGAGCAGTGCAATATCATGGTCTTCAAAGAAACAACCAGTTATTGCCCTTTTAATAGCCGAAGCAGAATATATGGCAGCAGTTAGTTGTGCAACTAAAACATTATAATTGAGAATAATTCTTGGAATGATGCATCAAAAGTAAGATACTCACAAAGTAATATTTTGTAATAACAAGTCAACAATTATATTATGTAAAAATTCAGTTTTTCATGGACGGTCCAAGCGCATAGATATTCAATTTCATAAGATCTAAGAACTAGTAGTTGAGAAAGAAGTGGTAATTGAGTATTATTCCACTTAAAAACAAGTTGCAAATATTTTTATAAAGCCATTGAAAGTTGAGTTATTTTACAAACTCAAAAAAATGCTTGGAATGATATCAACTTGATTTAAGGAAGAGAATGTTGGAATATGTTTAATCAAGCTGTCAAATATTGGACACCGCAAAATAAGAAAAATTGGAGGATTGACAATGAACGATGGACATCGCTTTATATGAGCCACAAAATAATATGTATGAGCATTTATTACTAGTTTTATATGTTGGCTAATTAAGTGATCAATCGAAAAGATATTCATTATTATGATCAAGGCTAATATTTTGCAGAAAGATAACTTAGCAAATTAGAATAAGTAATGTCATTTTATCTAAAATATTTGTCTATAAAAGACGAAGTCTTGTATGTTGTAATATATGAATTAATGAATGAAAATTAGAAAGGATCCTCCGTACATTTACTTTTCAGATAAAATGTTAGAAGTTGTTCCACTGGTATCACAAAGTTTGCATAAAATATGACTTTGAACTGGCTAACTTACGTAAATTTATTAATCGTTATAATACATCTTTCTTTTAGAATTTAATCTTTTATAGTATTTTTTAATTCAAATTATTTATTATTTAATTTATTTTTATTGTAAATTATAATTACGTGAATTTACCGACATAAACTTGGCATTTACACTGAGTTGAAACACAACCAATAACTCAAATTGGATTCTTCACATTTGCGGGGCGACATGATTGTTCTCACATGGATATTGGATGGTTATTCGTTGGGTGTAAGAAGATTCAACAATTGCGATATTAAAATTACCTTTTACTGCAAATATTTTCTTGCAAGTCCACACTCTTGATATCGTAAACATCACTTAACTATGAAATCCACGCTTACTTTTTAACTATAGTCATTTTTTTATACTTCTTTTAAAGTAAAAAGCTTAAACAACCCTCTAACAACCCATTGCTTTTGACTTATTTTGTAAAAGCAATTCTTTTAGTGTGCCATCAAGTGAAAAATAATTAACTATTGCCAATTCTTCGTTGATCGTGGCATCAATTTCCTCCTTGGCCATCATGCTAAGCACTCATTACCCCACAAATTAAGAATCACTTTTACTATTGGGTAAGTTATGATCGAATCATTTGAAATAATTAACTTCCATAATTTGTATTACATAAGTCATAACACTAGATATCCTAATACACGTTTTTAATAATAAATCTTTCTATTTTGTAATCAACTTCAGTTTTGATATATAGTTGTCATGTCTTGAATTAAACAAAGATGTTATATGTTATCCAAATTCTCCTTTAATAATAAGTTAATTTCCAAAATGAATTTTTTTCTTAAATTTATAATTTCTACAAATTGATATTTTCCTTAAGAATTAATTAATATTGAAAATGATATTCAACATTCAAGGATTTGATTCATTTGAAGTTATAAGATACATCTTAGAGGATAAAACACATTTACACTTATTAATTGATGATTTTAAGTGAAAAAAAAATCAACAAACACAATTTAAGAATTGAATGAATACATTTAATTAATTTTTTAATGATTTATTATTATATGTTTTATTTTTAATTTTGTTCACCTTATCCCAATCCGGACTTCATCTTTGCTATCTAAACATGAATTAAATTTTCAAACTTACTTTAAATTATAAGAATTGAATCAATTCAAAAATAAGTTGAGCTTTATATGAATGATTTTTTTAAGCTCATGTTCAACTCAATTTAAGTTCATAAATTGATCGATTTAACTCACGAGTTCAAATTACAAGAACTAAAAATCAAAGTTAGATAAGTTACACAAACATTATTAAGCATATTCTATCTAACTCTCACACATTCAACGATTAATTGAGATTAATTTCTCCGCACACAGATATATGTAACACAATTAAGGTGTCAAAATTTATCCTTACACCAAATCCCATCCCTTTATTTTACTTCCATTCAGTGCCCAATTTCAATTCATTAATCAATCAAGTGACCCGTGCTTTTCTTCCCCTTTCCAATTCATGATCAGAAAAAAAAAAAAATACAAGAAGACGTGCACAAAGTATCCACCTCCACTAGATTTACGTTTAAATTGAGAATAATATACATTTATTTTATTATTATTAGTTGTAACTTGTATTTGCTTCATGTTTATAAAAATTTTAACGTGTTTTTAAAAACATATTTAATATAATGCTAGAAATAAAATTTTACAAACATAATCTATAGAATAAATAATTTTATTTCAATAATTAATTTAAAAATAAAAGTATTAAATCACATAAAAAAAGTATAACTGAAGTGAATTCCTTGATTAATTTGGAGTTGGTATATTTTCAACTGCAATCAAAAGAGTCCACAACCAAAATTTATTTGCCCAAGTACGGCGAACATCTCTACTGGACCGTTGCATCGGAACTTTTGAAATACTTTTTAGTATGCATTATTATGTTTGGCATCATATAACCATTGCTTACGGATTTAAAATTTCTTAAATTATATTTTTATTCAACCCTATTTTTATTAATACTACTCAATTTTATTTTATCACATTATATGATAACGATTAAAGTACTATATATCGTTCTATTTATTTATTTTCCAACAGCATGACAAGGAAAATTAAACTCTTTTATCAATCCCAGTGACTAAAGATATTTTCTTTAGCGACAAATTATAGTTAACGTACTTGGGAGAATGGGCCCACATAATGTATATCAACAAATATTAAATGAAGAAATAGCCATTGGACCGATGTAACGTCATTGCTCCGCGACATTATTATCATTTATGAATAAAATTACATACAGAATCTTCTTTATCTAAATTAAAATTATACATTAGTAATTAGTATTAATCTTTAACATGCTTAATCATCAAGAGGTTTAATCCAATAAATAATAATTTAGTACAGGCGCAAAAGAAGTTTCTACACTCTTGGCAAGTCACGAGTCACTGTGCATTGGAGATCCAAATAACGCACTGGAACTCGAACGAAAATTAAAGAATTTAAAGAGAAACAAAAATTTATTATGAAATATGTCAGAAGCAAAATAAAGAAAGCTCATGGAGCGTTAACGAGAACATCCGAAATTTACAGTGTAACAGAAAGAGGAATATGCAGCATCACTGCACAAAATTAAACAAACAAAAATGAAAGTTTCCTAATAAGAGGGGTGAGGGTTAGGGGGAGGATGTAGTTGAGTCCTGCTAGGGTATGAAGAAACAAAGGGAAGACTACGTAGAATGAGGAAACGAAACTGTCGAGGAACAGGGGCGGAACGGAACACTTGCTCCACCACCCTCGCCAGCAACGCCGTGTACTCCTCCAACACCTCCGCCACGATCGCCACCAGTATCATCTCTCTCTCTCTCTCTATTCTCAACAACAGAATCGGGTCGGGTTGAATTTGAATCCGAATGAAAGTCACAGCGTTAACAAGAAAACATTAACTGGCATATATATAGGAAGGGATTAAGGGAAGAGGTTGAGCTGACCTGGGTAGCGGGTAGCCGGTAGTATGGGGGAGTAATGTTTAAAAATGAAAATAACAGCGGCGCCACCACTGCGCTACACTAGTGGAGTAGTGGTAATGGTTACCGGTTTCCAGTTTAGAGTTTCAGTGTGCTTTTAAGTTGTACTTTGCAGTGCAATCTTATCCTCTTCCCAGTCCCCACTAACTTTTATTTTTTAATACGAAAAAGAAAAGAAAGGGAGAGTGATATGATGTTATTGTCAAAGTGCCACGTTACCCGATAATAATCCAACAATCATTTTATATTGGGCTGCGTCTACGGTGAGTATCTCTTCAAATCACGCATCATGCATCGCTTTCTTTCTTTTAACCCTCTCATATATTTTAATGAATTTTATTTCATATTATTTAAAAGAGAGTGATGAATCTATTACAATTTTATTTAAATTAAATGCAGTATCAAAATATTTTTAAATTTTCTAATTATATTTAAGGCATATCATACATATTTTTATTAATTTTAAAAATATAATTTTTAAGAAATTTAAAATATTTTACACTACAAACGCTCCTAGGATTATATTTTAATGAGGGATCAAATAGAGAAAAAAATTTATAATGAAAAATATTTGATTGTTAGATTATTTAAAATTAAAATTATTATTTATTTATTTAAATAAGTAAAAAGAGTTAGTTTAATTATATTAATTGTTATAAAATTAATTAAAAACTATTTTTTATTATAATATTTTAATAAAAAAATTTATTTATTTTTATATCTAATAATTTAATTAATTAAAAAAACCTCAAATTTCAACCCCTTCCTATGGACTTACCTCCAAAATGAGAGATTTATTTTTACGGTAGAACTGATAAAAAAAAAACAAAAAACCCTTTTCTCTCTTCTTTCTCAAACAAATAACAAAATTAACTTTTTTTTTTTCTCTTCTTCCCTCTCTACTTCCAAAGCATCCAAACACATTAAGGATTTTATGGTGGCAAGCCTATAAAGAAGCCAAAATCTTAACAGCACATGGTATACTCTTGTTTTGTAATTAGTGAAGGAAGCAGCATTACACGTGTTCCTTCCATCATGAACTAGTTTATTATTAAATTTTAAAAATATAACTCATTAGAAATTATTTATTATTTGAATAAGCCTTTCTGAGTAAAAAGTATTGTCATACATTACTATTTCAGGTTAATTAAAAGACTTTCAACAATATATTCATATGCTTTTTTTATTTATTTATTTGATGTGAAAAGTTTGTAATAAACAGGCTTCTAAAATTAAGAATTCTCCAAAGCTTTGACTGAACATTCAAGCAAGCTAAATTTATTTTTCTGTTTTACTTTGTCGTATGATCTGCGTAAGTTTGAGATGAGAAAGTGTTAATAAGCCAGCATTCCTTTGGTGTATATGTTCAGAGAGAGATAAAAAGTAATATAAAGAAATTATAGATATTATTAATAAATTAATGTGATAGAATAAGAGAAATAAAAAAGAAAAGAGTATTCCTAACATAAGTCTTCTAAAGAAAGAACACAAAATAAAAGAAGGAAAGAAAATGAAAATATGTTAAATTTCAAAATTTCAAAAGTTAAAAGATGAAAATAATTTTTTTAAAGATTTTAAAATGACATTATTGATCATCAATATGTTATCACATTTTAATTTTTTTTTTATGATAATAACTAAAATAATTAACGACTTTCAATTTCAAAAATTAATATTTAAAATTTAAAATATAAAACTAGTTTGAGCAATGCTGCACATTTTAAGAATTAAATTTAAGATTTATTCATATATATATATATATATATATATATATATAATTTTACTTACAATTAAATATTAGCTAAAATTTAAGGGTTTTGTAGATAGTCTGTCTACTTAAAAGAAAAGGAAAATACAGAAAACAATAGCCAAGTTCCTTGTTTTGCACTTTGTCCAAGATAGGGAATCAACCACAGTTAATTAGTTTGATGTCAGAGTTTTGTTTGAGCATTGCTTTGATAGTTGTTTATTCCCATGTATGGACTATGGTAGAGCTATAACCAGTGGCATTCACAAAATGTTCTGGGCCAAGAAAGGTAAATTAACTCTATAATAAGCCTCCAAGCACAGTGAAGGAAGCGATTCTTTCCCTTGGAAATGAAAATGACAGAAACATGAGAGCCATCTCACAAGCATATATAAGAAGTTAACCCATTGTCAAGCAATCCCGAATCTCTCTCTTTAGCTTTTTCTGATGATTAGAAATAAATTGAAGATTCTCTTATTACCATTCAAGTCATTCCATCAACTTTAACTTATTCCCACCCCAACTTTAACTACAACTCCTTCACCTCTTGTAAGTTATATTATATATAAATTCATATTGAACTCAAGTCACAACCAAATACCACCCTACTCCCACTTTTGTTATCTAGGAGAAAGTTTCAATCACCTCATTAACATGCCTTCAGAACCATCAGCAAAGTCAGGCCAATCACCCTCCAATGAAGGAGAGAAGCACAAGCATTTGGACAGAGAAATAAGGGAGATGGTATCTGCCATCACTCACCGAGTCACTGATTTTCATAAATCAGATTCCACCCACCATTTGGAGAATGATGATGAACGTGATGTGAGGATCATCACCCTTGCAGGAACCAACGATGGAGCCACTCTTAAAAGTGATTTGGATGAAAAATCAGGCAAAACTCCTCATGGTGAACCTGAAGCATTGAGCACTTTTGTTAACAGCAACTTCCAAGCCATCAACAACTCCATCATGTTTGGTGGTAGTTACCAAGCCAACGATCCTGGTGTGCATTTGGATATTTCAGATTTCACTGATCCTCCTCATAGTCATCACCACCACAAGGTTGACAAGCAAGGGAAGAAGGGAAAAAAGAAAGAGAAAGAAGGTTCCAAAAGTGAACATTAACTTGGCCATTTTGATTGAGCTAGCTCTATATAGATATGTGCTGAGCAAAGGGATATCCAATTGAGTGCCAAAGAATAAACATTTTGTGTTAATCTTAAATCACTGGTCAATGTATGCTTGAATAAGTATAACCCATGTTTTCCTAATATGTTTTTGGATTTTTTTGTGCATGTTCTTTGTGTGTTGTCAATCAATCATATAGGAGACATTATATCATTATGTACAAGCAAAACTGTAGTCTTCATGCTAATAATATATATGTAACCACAGCCTCGTTGAGTTCTGTGTCAAGCATCCAAGTGAACCAAGCAATTTACTTGCAATTGCTCAACTAATTCTAAACGTTCTCATATGGGAAGGACCCAGATTTCTCAAAAGCATAGCAATGTTTGGTTAAAAGTATTATAATGTGGATAAAATAATAATTGAAAAAAAGTTAGCTACACATTTTTGTATCTGTATGATTTCTGTGAAAAAAAAAATATTGGTTAAATAATGTTACACCACATATATGTAGGTTATGTTGTGCCTTTTTGCCTTGCTTCAGCACACCTACTTTTAATTGTACTTCGGATCGAGAAGCATTTTTCTTTTGCAATGATTCTTTTGTCCTTTGCAAGATCAATTTCTTAAGAAAAGTGACGGTGGAAATTAAAAAAACGTACAACACTCAATAATATTATTTTAATTAATTATAAGTTAGCAAATATTCGCAAGGTTTACTGTTTTTACTACCCTATTTCAGTAGTGTCGGTCCAAGTTAACTCACATTTGCCAAATTATGAAACAAAAAAATAAATAAATAGAGAGATGGATGTAAAATTCAGACGTCTCAGTAGCTGAAAGAATATTCTCAAAGCTGGTCTTGTACCGAATGGCAAATTATAGCATCATATCCAAGAAGGTGGATAAAGTTCCAAACCTTAGACCCCTTGTCTAATGCGTTTTATGCTTTTAAGGTTATAATAAATTAGCAGAATGGGAATTATGAAATATATATTTCCTGTAATTTTGTAGCATCTGCCACAGTAACAAAAAATGAATCCTTCAAGTTCATTGTATGCTATCATTCTTACCTTTCTTAATTAGGCCTATGTGAAGAAAGTTGGGATCATAATTTAATTCAAATCAATCACATGAGGAAACATTATTGATGAATAATGACTAACCCACTTGACAACTTACCTTTTGTACACCTTTGGTTTTGATATTGCTGTTATGTTTCCTTTGCCTCTAGGGTAATGGAATATCGCCGAATGATGTAACGGTTAATTGTTATGCAACGTATAATGCTGTTATAAGTAGACTGTAGTACATACTATATTTCCTGTTGTTTAAATTAATGTATATATCTGGGTGAAAATTCTATTTGATGTAATCCTTTTTTATTAATATTGGTGCAGGGAATTGTATAATTAACAAGGAAATCACATAATTTATTTCTGGCTTTTATTGTTTTAATTCTTCTTTATAATTTACCAAATTTAACCTATATACGCAGTACATATGCTGACAGTTTTGAAACTTCTAGATTTGCAAATTCCATATTATTCCATTGTTCTACTTAGGCCATGACATTAAGTGTATATACCTTAATTGGTATAATATGATTAGTATATATACCCAAGGTTCAAAGAGTAGCTACCATTCCAACTTAGTTGAGGGTGAGGCATGGGGAAGAAAGTAAGGAAATTGAGTTCCAAAAGTATCATTTGTTTTCCAACTTTTTTTAGTTACACTCATTATTTGCATTTTATTCTTCAAGTGTGAGCTAAGTTACATTTCTCTTCATCTATATGCGTTATAAGATTTGTTTTCAAGTCTTTGAGATCGATCAAGAAACTTTACAAATTTTATTTAGGAAATTACAAATTTGACACCTTCAATTTTGTTTCCTTTCTTTGCGGACAGAATAAGGAGGAAAAGAAAGAAAGCAATGAAAACAAGGAAAAGAAGGAATCAGACAAGGCTATTGTGTTGAAAGCATTAGTACATTGTGAAGGTTGCTCGGACAAAATTTCCAAGTGCTTGAAAAGTTTAGATGGTAATTAGTATTTTGTTTACTTAGACCTTTTATTATGGATTTATGTGTTTTATAGAATTAAAAAATGAAAGGCTGTATAAAATGACTAGGAGTGAAGCATGTTGTTGTTGATAGAGAACAACACAGGGTCGTTGTGAAAGGAGATGTTGTGAAAGAGCCACTCAAGGTTTTGGAAAGACTTCAAAATAAATATAGCAAAAATGTCGAGTTAATTTCACCAAAACCAAAGCCCGAGAAACAGAAAAAAGATCCAGTAAAAAAGGAACAGGTTTAAATTTAATATTTTTATTGTTTTTTATATTATTATTGTTGTTATTCTCTCATCTTCTTCTTATTTTTTTCTCACTGTTTCCTTATATATAGATATTTTATTTTCATTTTTTTTTATTATTATTATTGCGTGCAGGCTAAAATGAAAACTGTGGTGCTCAAAATGTATATGCATTGTGAAGGCTGTGCAAGTGATGTCAAGGGAAAAATTGGAAAAATGGAAGGTTGATACTCTTAACTGACATCCCATATTGTTAAATTCTAAAGATTACATTTAAATAAACAAAGAATTATTTTAAGTTTTGTTAGGGAGTTTGAAAGAGAGAACAAATGAGATAAGGGAGAAGAAGAGAAGAGAAAGGGAAGAAGGATTAGTAAAAAAAAAAAATCCTCAAATTAAAAAATATATGAGGTTTAAAAAGTTTAAAACTTCTCCCTCCCATATAAATATTTCAAGACAAAAATTGTGATCAAATAACCTTTTTCCTTCTCTCTTAAAAATTAATTCCCAAACAAACAAAACCTTAGTGAATATGAACTTATAAAAAATAAACTAAAATAAATCAAGAATATAAATACAACATAATTGATGGATTATGTTATCAAACAGTGTATTTAGTATCTAATTTGTTAATATGTGATAGGTGTCGATTCTGTGGAGTTGGACAAGGAAAAATCACTTGTTATTGTCAAAGGAACAGTGGAGTCAACAAAAATTGTCGAATATGTCAAGAAGAAATTGAGAAAGCATGCAGAGATTATAAAAGAAGACAACAGAAGGGAAGCAAAGAGAGAGACGAAAGAAAATGAGAGAAGCAACGAACCTGTAGCTATGTTTAGTTATCCTCCTCAATATTCAACCCAATATCTTTATCCCAATCAAACCTTCAGTGATGAAAATGTTTTTTCATGTTCAATAATGTAAAAGTTTGTAAGCAAACTACAATTTTTAATAAAAAAAAGTTTCTTCTGTTTTCAATTTGTGAAATCTAACATTATTGAGCAATTAGAAAGTAATTTCAGTTTAGTCAAATTGGGGAGATTAAATTACTTAGCTCGGTATAAATTAGCTAAGCATACAAGTAGACTTGATTTATTTAAATATATACATAAAAAATAGAATGAGAGGATGTCGATTCTCTATCAATTTCCACACTTGTGCACGTATTAACTTTTTAATTTGTGTATTCAAGTCTTGCTATTCAAAGCTTTATGTAACGTCCACAAAAATTAACCTTATGGTATGCATTCTAATTAGTTGATATGCGTAATGTACAATATTTGTCTACAATAATATATCATTTTTTTTTATCTCTATTCATCGCATCGACAGTTTTATCACATTTTTATCGTTATTATTTTTTTTTTGTAAAAGAAATTGCATAAAATTATAGTATAATTATAATACCTCTAATCAATTTGAACTATTTAATTAATATATGGATTGAGTAACCTGAAAAATCACATTTGTAACCAAGAAAAAAAAAAGAATCTACTTCTGCCTATTTTACAATTTTTTTCACAAGCAAAAGATAAATAGGGGAAAAAAAGATATGAAACAAGATAAGCGATATAATTAAAAAAAACTAAAAAAATACTTAAAAATATTATAAATATGTGTATAAAAATAATATAACTCTTTACAATTCCACGAAACTTACACAAATAAGATATCGATAACCTATGTTATTGTAGTATATAAGAAATTGAGTATATGTATATATAATCTATATCATTCTCGTTATTCAATTTTCAATTACAATTGCAAATGTTTGCTACTTGTGAATTTAACAATAAAAATCAATTACGTGGAGTATCTTTGCAAATAGTAATCAATCTGTGTAATTAAAAGATTTTATATTACGAAGAGAAATTAAACAACTAAACATTGAATTTATTTGCGACATCATTCGTGTACATTTTGTAAGAACAACTTTGACCGGAAAACAACACTACTCAATTAGTCAATGTTGTACATTAGAACATGAAGATAGTTTACCAGGCACCTTTAGCTTAGTTAGACAATCGGATACTAACTTGGTATACAATTCAAAGTTGAAATATCATGAAATATTTCTTCTGTGTTTTGATCCACACTATTTGATAAATTTACTCTAATTAAGAAATAATTGACAAACAATATTTGCGATATTCTTACATTACAATTTAGATATTCCAGATAATTTCTTTCATCCCCTATAAGGATTGACAGTATTACGAAAGAGTTATTGCCTAAACGTGATAGCGTAAAAAAACTAGAGTAAATTTCAAAGACCAAAAGAGGCAGATTGTTATTTACAAAACACGATGCATTTGATGGACAAAAGTAACTGTATAATCATTATGTCAAGAAGTTGCGGGTTCAGCTCCATCGTGTAAGGCACAACAAATTGTAGCTTTATGATGTCCTTGGTAAACCTTAATATCCTCACCAGTTGACATAGACCAGAGCCTAGCAGTTGTATCAGAGGAAGCTGAAATAACAAGATGTGGCTTTAAAAATAGATGATGCAATACTTCAATCAATTATAAGATCGTATTTGTTTAATTGACTACCAAGAACAAAACATTCCGTTCTATTCCGTTTTCATTGGTTCCACCCATTTTCTTGGAATTAACATGTAACATTTTTTAATCTCGTCTTCTATTATGTTCTAATTTTTTTAAAATACACCAAAACATAAAATAAAACCATATGTTTTGTTCCGTTCAGTTTCAATATGTCTATCAAATGCAATGGAAGGCTCCTATTCTGGAATATG